CTTGCTCCTTGGAAGGAAAGCTATGACCAAACTAGACAGCATATTAAAAAGCAGAGACATTTCTTTACCAACAAAGGTCCATCTAGTCAAAGCTATGGCCTTTCCAGTAGTCATGTATGAATGTGAGAGTTGGACCATAAAGAAAGCTGAGTGCTGAAGAATTGATGCTTTTGAACTGTGGTGTTGGAGAAATCTCTTGAGAATCCCTTGGACTGCAAGATCAAACCAGTCCATCCTAAAGGAAATCAACCCTGAATATTAATTGAAGGCCAGATGCTGAAGCTGAAGCTCCAGTACTCTGGCTACCTGATGTGAAGAGCTGACTCATTGGAAAAGACCTTGATGCTGGGAAAGATAGAAGGCAGGAGAAGTGGACGACAGAGGATGAGATGGTTGGATGGCCTCACAGACTTGATGGACATGAGTTTGAGCAAACTCCAGGAGTTGGTGATGAACAGGGAAGTCTGGTGTGCTGCAGTCCATGGGGTCAAGAGTCAGACATGACTGAGCAACTGAACTAACTAATGATACTTGCTTTTCCTCTTAAAAAGTATTTCATTTCCATCTCTAACCTCTATATTGGACCTTAATCTGTCTTGATTACCAAAGATTTCTGTATATACCTGCATCCTGTAACATCTTGCACAAAACAGATGCTCACTAAATATAAGCTGGATGAATGGCCAGCTCACTAAAAGTTTGACATTGGGCAATATTTAAGGAACTAGCATACAAATCTGACATTAGCAAGACTGCTATTTCCCTTTTGACAAGGTATCACAGCTGCTTGCCTTTTCAAAGGATATGCAGGCAGATTTCTCAAAGCTGAAGTGAGTAGAATGGCCTTGGGAAAGAAGCCAGGGAAACAGGAGCCTGGCTCAGGGAATATACAAAGTGAGACTGGGCACTCAGAAAACCAAAGCTGGTTCTGTGGTATATTGACAAGGTAGACAACGTGATCAGCAGGATAGGGCAAAGATCCCCTTTCCAACCCCCAACTATCAGGCCAACTCTAGAGAGACCGAAGAGAAAAAGCCAATGGCCAGGTTTCTAAGGGGAAAAAATGAGTTTTCTGTTTTGGCATGTCTTAACAAATTCAAGAGGATCAGAAGGAATGTGCAAGTTCTAGTTTACCCAAAATCATACCAGAGGACTAGCACCCTACACTCTGTCAGCCAAAAGAAAACATCCTTAGAAGGCTTATCAATCATTTCCGTTACCATTCGATGGTTTCAGCAGAGAGACAACTGGGAAAAATGACACTTGGTGCAGGAGCAAGTTACCTATAGGAATTTATCCTTTTCATCTAAGATAGCTAATTTGCTGGCATTTAATTGTTTGAGCGACTGAACTGAGTATTCCTTTATAATCCTTTTTATTTCTGTAAGGTCAGTGGTCCTCTTTTTCATTCCTTTTAGTAATTTGAGTCTTTTTTTTTGACAATCTAGCTAAAGATTTGCTAATTCTGTTAATCTTTCTGAAGAATCAACTTTTGGTTTTATTGATTTTCTATATTGCTTTTCTTGGAAGGAAAGCTATGACCAATTTAGATGGCATATTAAAAAGCAGAGACATTACTATGCCAACAAAGGCCCATCTAGTCAAGGCTAGGGTTTTTCCAGTAGTTATGTATGGATACGAGAGTTGGACCATAAAGAAAGCTGAGTGCCGAAGAATCTATGTTTTTGAACTGTGGTGTTGGAGAAGACTCTTGAGAGTCCCTTGGACTGCAAGGAGATCCAACCAGTCCATCCTAAAGGAGATCAGTCCTGAATATTCTTTGGAAGGATCGATGTTGAAGCTGAAACTCCAATACTTTGGGTACCTGATGCGAAGAGCTGACTCATTTGCAAAGCCTCTGATGCTGGGAAAGATTGAAGGCGGGAGGAGAAGGGGACGCCAGAGGATGAGATGGTTGGGTGGCATCACCGACTCGATGGGCAGAATTCTAAGTAAACTCCGGGAGTCGGTGATGGGCAGGGAGGCCTGGCGCGCTGCGGTCCATGGGTCGCAGAGTCGGACACACGGAGCGACTGTACTGACTGAGCTGCATTTCCATCCTCCGTCTCATCCACTTCTCTGGCCCTTGTTGTCGCTGTTGTTCGGTCGCTCAGGCGTGCCTAACCCTTTGTGACCCCACTGACTGGAGCACACCAGACCTTCCCTGTCCTTCACCATCTCCCAGAATGTGCTCAAACTCACGTCCATTGACTTGGTAATACCACCCAACCATCTCGTCCTCTGTCCTCCCCTTCTCTTCCCGCCTTCTATCTTTCCCAGCATCAGGGTCTTTTCCAATGAGTTCTCTTCCTATCAGGTGGCCAAAGTATGGAGCTTCAGTTTCAGCATCAGTCCTTCCAATGAATATTCAGGGTTGATTTCCTTTAGGATTGACTGGTTTGATCTCCTTGCAATCCAAGGGGCTCTCTAGAGTCTTTTCCAACACCACAGTTCAAACAGAATCTATTCTTTGGCACTCAGCCTTCTTTTTGGTCCAATTCTCACATCCATACATGATTACTAGGTACTAAGCCTTATTAGAAAATGTCAGTTTGGTCCTCACCTTTGAATGAATGTTTAGCTGGGAACAGAGTTCCAAGTTGACACTGAATTTTAAAATTATTATTCCTTTTGTCTTAAGCATTTGTTGTGGTTGATAAGAAGTCTGCTGACAATCTAACTTTCTTTATATGCAACCTCTCCAGTTTTTTTTAAGATTCTGTCTTTGGTATTCTGTAGTTTCACTACAGCACATCTAGGAATGGCTGTGCTTTTCTTTATTCTCAATTAATTTTTTCTGGTGGAGGATTAATATTTGTCTCTAATGATGGAAAATTCTATATCTACCATATTGTCTGACTTATTCTATTTTAACCTGCAGCAACTTCTATTTTACCTTCTCATTCTCTCCTGTACCTTCTCTTCCATTTGTTGTTTAGCTGCTAAGTCATATTGGACTCTTTGTGACCCCATGGAACCTGCAACACACCAAGATTCCCGGTCCTTCACTATCTTCTGCAGTTTACTGAAATTCATATTCACTGAGTCAGTGATGCCACCCAATAATCTCATCCTCTGCCACCCTCCTCTCCTTTTGCCTTTAATCCTTCCCAGCATCAGGGTCTTTCCCAATGAGCCAACTGTTCTCATCAGGTGGCCAAAGGACTGGAGTGTTAGCTTCAGCATCAGTCCTTCCAATGCAATCCAGGTGACCGACAATTTCTTTCTGCAGGGCTACAGGCTCTCAAGAGTCTAGGCTAATCTTCATGATAATTTGTCAGCATGTGGTCCTTCCACATGCTAATAATATGAATTCAGGCTGCACATACCTGTCTGTGGTCCAGGCTTGGGGATTTCTCATCAATGTCTTTGCCCTTCGTTTCTTCCTACTGTCCTTGGATGGTCAGCATAGACTTTCTACTCCCCTTGCAGGCTCCAGCTGTCTTCATCCAGAAGAATTCACTCCAGCAATCCTGTGCCTCGTAGGGTCTAAGGTTGCATCTTCTATCCTTATCTGAAATGAAAAACCTCAGCGCTCCCATCCCTGCATTCTGTCCATAACCCTGGGAGCTATGTTGGCATCAACTATAACCACAAAGGTCCGGATAGTCAAAGCTGTGGTTTTTCCAACAGTTCGGTACAGATGTAAGAGTAGGACCATAAAGAAGGCTAAGCACAAAAGAACTGATGCTTTTGAACTGTGGTGCTAGAGAAGACTCTTGAGGGTCCCTTGGACATCAAGGAGATCAAACCAGTCAATCCTAAAGGAAATCAACTCTTAATATTCACTGGAAAGACTGATGCTGAAGCTTCAAAACTTTGTGGTCACCTGACACAAAGAGTTGACTCATTAGAAAAGACATTGATGCTGGGAAAGATTGAGGACAGGAGGAGAAGGGCATGACACAGAATGAAATGGCTGGCATCATCGACTCAGTGGACGTGAGTCTGAGCAAATTCCAGGAGACAGTGAAGGAAGGGGAAGTTTGGTGTGCTCTTCATGTGGTTGAAGACAGTCAGAAACGACTTGGCAACTGAACAACATAACCACTCTGGCTTCCCTTTCTTTCTTCTGCCTCAATTATTTTCCTTCCTTCCTCCTTCCCCCATCGTCATCTCTTCCCTTGTTCCATTTCCCCCAAATCCAGATAATTAATGTAAAAAAAAATTTTTGTTTTCTAAACATTTCTCAGTATGGTCAGCTCACTCTATTACCAGAAGTCCCTCATCTTCCCAGAAGTCTCCTGTACTCACTTTTCTCTTGGCCATGTGGTGCAGCTTGTGGGGTCTCAGTTCCCTGACCAGGGACCCAGGGACTGAAGCCCAGTCAGCACAGTGAAGGGCATCCCTGGTGGCTCAGCAGTAAAGAATCTGCCGGCAATGCAGGAAACACGGGTTCAATCCCTGGGTCGGAAGATCCCCTGGAGGAGGGCATGGCAACCCGCTCCTGTATTCTTGCCTGGAGAACCCCACAGAAAGAGGAGTCTGGCAGGCTACAGTCCATGGGGTTGCAAAACAGTTAAGACATGACTTAGCGACTAAATAACAACAGGAGAGAGAAAGCACTGAATCCTGATCTCTACACCACTAGGGAACTCCCACCCTAACTCATTCTTTTAATAAAAGTTATTTTTTAGAGCACATTTTTAGGTTCACTGCACAATTTGCAAAGGTTAGATGTTTCCCATATACACAGCCTACCCCATTATTAACATCCCCCACAAGAATGGTGCTTGTGTTGTGTTAATTACAGTTAGTGAACCTACATCAACTTCTTGTCATAATCACTCAAGGTTCAAGGAACATCAGGCTTCATTCAGTGTTTCACATTCTATGGGTTTGGACAAATACATAATGACATGTATCCACCATTACAGTATCCTACAGAATAGTTTCCTTGCCCTAAAACTGCCCTGCCCATTCATCCCTCCTTCTCCCCAAACCCTGATCCTTTTACTGTCTATAGTTTCTGCCTTTTCCAGAATGTTACATGGTTGGAATCATACAATATGTAACACTTTCAGATGGGCTTCTTTCACTTAGTAATATGCATTTAAGTACCCTCCAGGTCTTTTCATGGCTTTGATAGCTCATTTGTTTTTAGCACTGACTAATACTCCTTTGTCTTCCTGTACCAGTGTTTGTTTATCCACTCACCTACTGATGGACATCTTGGTTGCTTGCTTAGAAGTTTTGGCAATTATGAAAGAATAAAGCTGCTATCAACATCCAGCGCAGGTTTCTGTGTTGATGTAAATTATAAACTCTTTTGGGCAAATACCAAGCAGTGTGACTACTTCAATCATATGATAAGGGTATGTTTTGATTTGTAAGAAACTACCAAATTGTCTTTTAAACCAGCTGTACTATTTCGCATTCCCTCGGTTAACGATGAATGACAATTCCTGTTCCACATCCTCACCAGCATTTGGAATGGTCAGTGTTTTGAATTTGGACCATTCTATTAATAAGAGGTGTGCAGTGGTATCTCATTTTAATTTGTAATTCTCTAATGACATATGACGTTGGGCATATTTTCATATGCTTATTTGCCAACTGTATATCTTAGTTGGTGAAATCTCTCTTCAGGTCTTTTTGCCCAATTTTTAATCAGGTTGTTTTCTTACTGTTGAATTTTAAGAGTTCTTTGTATATTCTGGATAACAGTCCTGTATCAGATGTCCTTTTTTTTTTCATCCTTTGACGTGCCTCAGGGCATGTAGAACTTCCCTGACCAGGGCTTCAACTTGAGCCCCTACAGTGGAAGAGCAGTCTTAGCCGCTGGGCTGCCCGGGAGCCCCTCAGATGTGTCTTTTGCAAATATTTTCTTTTCGTTTGTGGCGTTTTTTTCTCATTCTCTTGAATTTCCTCATTTTTTTTTTAAAAGAGAGAAAATAAGTCTAGACAGGGAAAGGTAAGACACTCAGAAAAAGCTAGGTTTGGGGAAAAAAAAAGAAAGTAGGGTCTTTCTCCAATTATCCCAAATCACTGAGAAATTTCAGGCACAAGTTATAACATTTTCAATATGAAGAGTTAGTCATTTATAAAACTACTTCCCTTTTCATACCATTCAATAAAATGCTGCTCAAGTAAAAAGAGGCTAAATTAGATTCTTTTAAGGATGAGTTCAAGAAGCACTGAATCCCTGAAGACGGAGTTTCTAAATAAACAGAACAGGATGCAGTGGTGAAGCAGGCAGTCAGGGTTCTTTGGGAAGGCACTTAAAAAGGCTACAGACACGCTGTGAAGCACAGCAGAGAAGGACAAGCACCAGGAAAAGGCGGGAGGGAAGGGCCGCCCTCAGGAGCTGGCTCTCACTCAGGCTGACGGAAATTCTCTGATGGGGAGAGAGTTTTGAAAACAAGAGAGAACACACACACACACACACACACACACACACACAACAGGTGCCTCATTTGTCCCAGAAGACAGACTATTAGTATCTTCTTCAAGAAATCTTACTGCCAGATTTCAGTGAAAGTACCTGAGTACCAATACTGCAGCTGCCCCTAGCATGCCCAGTAACAAATTAACAACTCTAACAAGTGCTACAGGTTTATGAAGAAAAAGAACTGTATCACTACCATATGTCAACATTATTACAAACGCAACTACACATATATACAAATTTCTTTTTATTTTCCACCCCATGACCCAGTCATTTCACATTAAGACTGAAATAACAAGGAAAGAAAACCAGGAGGAAAAAGTGAAGAAATATTTATGCTATCTCAAGTATTTGTCTTTTCTGATTATCTAAGATAAATGAGCATTAGGAAATCTAACTTCAAAAGAGAAATTCAAAATACTTCCAAAGAGAACTGGAGAACTGTTAAGCCTAAAACCAGTGATCCAGTGTGCCTGATTCTGCGGTGTTTAAACCCCAGGTCTCAGCCCTTCGCTGTCCCTCACTCCGCATGCAGCCGGAAGCGCACGAGACCACCAGCCCCACGGCTGCTCAGCCTCTGCCTCATGCTGCAACCAGCGCAATGCTAGGTTGGTTTTCTTCATCTAAGAAGTTTTAAGCTAAAGTTTCTCTTCTCATACACTGTCATATAAAATGAGAATTTCTGCGCTGTCCCTCCCTGCCACCACACCAAAAAATATATTAATAAATAAAATAAAATACACACACAAATAAATACAAATTCAAAAATGTTAAATAAAACTGGCTTTTAAAAATCTAGATAAAACAAGGTAAGACTGAATTAGTCCTGAAGAGACTGGAAGATTTTTAAACAGCGGAAAAATAAACATACACACACGAAACACTGAAACCCGCAGGCATAGTGACAACTCTCTAAACTGAAACGTCTGGACTTTGGAAGGAAGGTCATGTTTCCCAAAGCCAACTTCTGGAAATCTTAATGCAGACTCAGAGAAATTCCTAACAAAATGAGCTAGCAGCCGGGAAGAGAGTATTGAGCAAGGAAAGTGAGTAGTTCAATTTGCAAACATATCAACAGAAAAGAAAGTGACATACCGTAGAGAAAGGGTCAAGAAAAGCTCATGGCCTGTCATGAACCTTCAAAGCTGCTGAATTTCACATGTTCTGATTCTTAGTTTAAAAAACTGAAACTTACCAAAGGTTAATAACAAGGACAAGGAGCAAAGGAGACAGCAACACTGCATACTATAAAGCAACTGAAATATCCAGATAAAACTGTGTTTGTCCTCTCAGGAGGCAAGAAAGAACTAAACACCCTTTCCAAAGCTAGTTCAAGTCACCTGTCATCAACTCAATCCCTAGAGATGATTAGGTCAGCAAGAGTCTGAAAAGGACCCACCAGCTGGTTTCGCGACATGTCTTTCACATTTGCCAGCAACAGCCAAATCCTGAGAAACTTTGCCTTCTTACCTTTCCCAGTTGCCCAAATAAAGTAGCTCTCTACTTTAAGAACTTTGCAGAGACTTCATTCACTACCAGCTCTGGCACCAGAAATGGGAACTGCTTCGTAAGCAGAGTTTGTAAGCGTAACTGCTGCTTCTTCAGGCCTCTACGGCTTCTGTCAGCTTTGCAGGCTCCCGGAGGGCCCCCCGTCTCCACCCACCCCATCTATATTGTAGCACACCACCCCCATTTGCTCTGCAAAGGCAACAAGACAATTTCTAGCTGAAATTTATGATGGAACCTGCTTCTCAGTGTTAACGGACTTAAAAGAGAAAAGAAAATGAAAAGAAAGATCTTCTGCTGGGTTGGTGAAAGAGCAAACGCCAACACGAACTCCCTTCCGGCCGCTGGGGACCCTGCGCAGATGCGCTCACAGCTGAGCTCAGAAGTCTGCCTGCTCTGACCGGCCCGTGTCCTGACGGTCCAATCACAGGAAGAACAGGTTCTCGCACAGCTGGATGGCTGGTTCATGGTGCAAGATTTGTCCTGACAGGAAGGCTAGCTTGTGGGCATACTTGCAAGGAGCTGGAACTCTAATGGTACCCGGCCAATTCCAGTACATGTGGCACAGTTTGAAAGTCAACCTGTAGGCCAAGAAGAAAATATGAGCCTTATCACTCTCCATCTTCAGTGTGGAGCGCGATTATGTCCTTCTGGGTACATGACACAGCATATTTACCAGCAAACTGGGGGACTGAGTTGCAATATGATGCAACTTTTTGGAATTATTATTTTTAAGTGAAATTATTTCCACTATTTTTAAGTCAAGAGGACATGGGGAAATTCCCAATGTAGGTGCTCCTGTTTTTATATCAAAACAAGGAAAACAACATTTTTTTTTCTCTTGTCTCAAGAAAAGGCTGCAGAAAGAGAAGTACCCCAGCAAAGTACTTCTTTACTCTGAGCTCAAGAGCAATGGGTCTCAAACTTGGCTATGTGTCATAGTCACTGGAAGCAGTTTTTAAAAATACAAATGCTTCAGAATGCTTCGAGGTGAAGCCTGGTTGTAATTTTTTGAAAGGTCTTCAAGTAATTTTAGCAAACAACAATAATTATCAATCACTCCTCGAAAAGATATATCATTATCATCAAAGACATAAAGAAACTCAAGGGGTAAGGGGGCAGGCAGTATTTGTCTTTTCTGATTATATAAGAGAAAATGAGTCTTAGTAAATCCAACTCCAAAAGATAAATTCAAAATGCTTTCAGAAAAAAAAATGCTTTCAAAGAGAATCAGAAAATTATTAAGCCCAAACCAGTGATTTGTTGAATTAAGCCAAATACAATTTGCTGAATTCAGAGTTTTTTAAATTCCAGGTCTTAGACTTAGCTCAGTGGCCAGAATTATTCACAAGTTAGGAGTAAGTTACTGGTCAGCTCACCTTTGCATATGATCAGGGCTCAGGTTTGCAGTGTTGAGAACACAAACATAATGGGTTGGAATGCCACAACCCTGCCGCACATGATGGGCAAGAAGGTAGAAGTCCACCCTAGTAATGAAAAAGTACAAACTAATGGTATAACAGAGCTGGAGATGCTTCTTCATCCAAGGCTCAGAGAGGTCAAATGACTGGATTAAGGACATCACAAAGACCAAACCAGGATGAGAATTCAGGTCTCCTGACTCAACAGGCTATTTAAAAGTGGTGGTAGAAACGACCACATTTATATGCAGAAGATTAAGCATGCATATTCTTAGGAAAAGAATGCATGCTCAATATTTTATACTTAAGAGGTAAAAGCTTCATTGGTGGTTTGTGTGTTTTCTAAATTGCTCTTAAAATTTTATTTTTTACCAGGAAAATCTCTTGAGGATTTCATTCCAAATCTCTCTAGGCCACGTCCCCATTCCAATACCCAGGGAATGGAGAACTTCCCCAACCTATTCTTGTTGAAATACGTGTTTCGCCCACTCACCACTCACAGCTTGTTATTGTATGATCTACCACAGTCCCAGGGGAGGGCGTCGCAAAGTTCTCAGTGGCAGCCAGGTACAGGTTGGTGCTGATTTTCTTCTGCACTACAAACACCACCATCTTGGGATGATAATTCTCAAAAGCTTCAAAACACTTCTGGAGCTGAGGAATTTCATAGCTGGCAACTGTCTTTAGTTGGCCATCAGATACTCCATCACGGTACACCACAATCTTCTCCGGTAGGCAGTGGTTCACCTGAAACGAAAGCTTGCTGAGGTGGACCACGTGGCCCGAGGGCTGATGGCCACCAGCAGAGGGCAGCTCACTCAGTGAGTAACCTGGAGACGTGGCAGGGCCCGAAGCCATCACGTTGGAAGGGCAAGGAAAGGCAGCTTCTAGTCATTTCTAGACTTCATCAGGGTAGTAAAACAGGTCTGGCACAGCCAAGGTGTTATAAAATATGGAACCAAATAAGCAAGCTCTGAGTCATATACACAAGGCTTATACTGAAACGGTGTGAACAAAGTTAAAAAGGAAAATTACAGGCTTGAATCAATCTTTCGTCTACTTGGATTTAACACTAAATTACTGTCTACGCAAAGAACAAGGTGAAATGTTGAAGAGATTCTAACACATAACTGCACATGCTACAGATCCACCAACCTGGTATTTCTGTGTATCAGCAACATCCAAAGTTGCTAATACAAGGATCCTTTACTTAATAATTATTCTGTGTGTGTGTGTGCGCTTAGCTGCTCAGTCATATCTGCTTCTTTACAACCTTGGAATTATTGCCCTAGTTGTAGTACTTTTTTATCTTGTTTTTCTCTGTCCAGTATTTATTCCACTCTTTTTTTTTTTTATAAGAGCATTTTAGTGTTCTTTTGCCTCCAATAGGATAGTCTGGTGGGATTTTAATCGAGCTGCTGCCCCTAATCCAGGCCTTCTCAGCCTCAATACTACTGATGTGTGGGACCAGTGAATTCTGTTATTGGGGGCTGACACCAGAGCACGTTCCACAGCATTCCTGGCCTCTACCCGCTAGATGCCAGTAGCTCTCTCTCCCAGTTATAATGCAAAATGTCTCCAGGTTTCCCAGTGGGAGGACAAAACTGTCCCCAGTTGAGAATCACTGCGCTAACCAAAAGACAAGAGATGATTCCAGCCACGCCAGCAAAACGCCTTTCCCTCACTCTGACTCTTGGGCAGAGAACCAGAAACAGCTGGAGTTTGATGGTGCTTTTTCAGGTCCCTGCTTCTAGAACTCCTGTCCATTTCCCAGTTTGACGCTCAACCTTCTCACCAATTCCCTGAGGCTCTTCATGATCTTACCAACTAATCTCCACTTTGCTAAAGTGAGAACATTTCTGTGACTTCCTACAGAGTCTTGATACACTGTGTTAAAGGCTGGGTAACATAGGCACTGAGATCTGAAAGAAACCCTGATTTCACAGGTGAGGAAACAGAGAAGTATGACACTGGATCTGGGGTCAGGAGACCTGGGGCTGAGTCTGCATATGCTGCTCCTCAGCTATAGTCTTGAAGACTGTTTCCCCACTTGAAAAATGGAGGTAAATGATCACCTCACCTTCTTCTTCTTAGGACTGAGAGATAAAGCGTGTGTATACATGAATACAAAAGTTGAACACAAACTAGATCAAGGAAATACAGATATTCTGAAGCACAGGGAAGGGATCTAACAGGATCAATGGAGTGAAAAACAGAATCAAATTCAACTGAAGTATTCACTGATATTACGTCTTTCTTTAAAATTTGCTAACCCTGGCAATCCACTCCAGTATTCTTGCTTTGAGACCCCCATGGACAGAAAGGCCTGGCAGGCTACAGTCCATAGGGTCTCACAAAGTCAGACATGACTGAAGTGACTTAGCACGGCACGGCAACCAACCACTGAGGGTGAGACACTGTACTTGGTCCTACGTAGATTCCAGTAAGAGTGAAGGTCATGATGCCTGTTACCAAGGAGCATTAAAATCTAATAATACAGTAACAGCCAACAATGGTAACTTTTCTAGGTCATCTAGCCCACCCTCCTCACTTCATAAATGGTAAGACTATGATCGAGGAGGGTCGAAATATGAGATGAGTCACAACACTGAAACATTAATGGTAAATATACATATCGAATCACTTCAGTACTAGGGTAAGTACAGGAAACAATAAATCCATGAATATCTTGAAAGCAGGACTGTGCTTGTTGGCCTGGTGTCTCTAGCACTAAATACAGTGGTGAGGGTCAAGGAGAAAATAAGTATCTGCTGAAGGTTTGAGATGTTCTTTTATGTGTGATTACATTCATTCACTAAACAAGCACTTAATGCCCACTAGGTATGTGCCACTGTGCTAGTCTCATAAAAATTATCTTGAAAGGATGTGCGAAGTATTAGTCGCTCAGTCATGTCCGACTTCTTGCGACCCCATGGACCATAGCTGGCCAGGCTCCTCTGTCCATGGGATTCTCCAGGCAAGAATACTAGAGTGGGTAGCCATTCCCTTCTCCAAGAGATCTTCCCAACCCAGCGATCGAATCCCTGTCTCTTGCCACTGCAAGCAGATTATTTACTATCTGAGCCACCAGGGAAGCCCAGAAATTATCTTGATACCTTTCAAATATTAGTGGAACTTAAAACTGGGGAGACAGACACATAAAAGTAAATGCTCTCAAGACATTATAAATAATATAACAAAGGTATAAATAAAATGCTATGAAAACAGAGAAGTATAAGATATTTGTGCCCTGGAGGAATATGTGAACCTCAGTGAAAGAATCAGCAGACACTTCTGTCAGCAAAGAAGGGTAAAAGGATTCCAGGTAGAGCATGAGCAAAGTTCTAGACTGTGACTAGCCAAGGGGCAAGTAAACAACTGGAGACTGACCTGTGTGATGATGTAAGTAACCCCAGTGTCCATCAACACAAGAATGGATAAGCAAAATGTGGCATATACATCCAACAGAATATTATTCAGCTCTTAAAAGGGAGGAAATTCTGCAATGTACTACAACATGGATGAACTTTGAAGACATTATGCTAAGTGAAACAAACCAGTTGCAAAAAGACAAGTGAGTATCATTCCATGGATGTGAGATACTCAGGGTCATCAAAATCAGAGACAGAAAATAGAAAGGTGGCGGCCAGGGGCGAGGGGGTGGAGAGCATGGGAAACAATTAATGAAGAGAGTTTCAGTTTTACAAGATAAAAAGAGCTATGGAGATGAATGATGGAGACGACTGTACAACATTATCAATGTATTTCCCACCATTAAAATGTTATACTTAAAAAGGGATAGGATGTTAAACTTTATATGTATTTTACTTAATTAAAAGAAAATGGGGGCTTCCCTGATGGCTCAGTGGTAAAGAATGCTCCTGCCAGTGCAGGAGCCACGGGTTTCATCCCTGGTCTGGGAAGATCCCACATGCGGCAGAGCAAAAGCCCATGCACCACAACGACTGAAGCCTGGGCGCTTCCAGCCCCACTCTGCACCAAGAGAAGCCACTGCAGGGAGAAGCCTGGTCACCACAACCAGAAGGAAAAAAAGTCCACAAGGCAACAAATACCCAGTACAGCAATTAAAAAAGAAAAATTGGGGAAAAAGAGGAGGAAGAGGAGGCCAGCAAGATACTGGCAACGGTAGGTGCAATAAGGGCAGGCTAAATTCTGGAAGAGTTCCCAAATAATCACTGGCTCCAGATAACTCCACCCTAAGATTCTCCCAATTCTGCTAAGAAAAGGGAAGTGACGGTGGAACTAAGAAGCCCAAAGAACCTATACACTCACACATCGTATAGCTGGCTGCCTGCAACTTTTGATGCCAAAGGTAACACCGTGGCCCACTACCTTCTGTCTTCAGAGTCAGACACGGTTAGTAGTCACAGCCACAGCCAGAGTCACATCAGAAGCAACAGGGGCTGCATCAACTACAGCTGAGTTTAATCTTCTCCAACCTCAGGCCAAATAACAGATAAACTCAACATCAGGTGATTACTAATCATGAGCGCTAAAGGCTAAGGCAAGTGTCACGAACAGCTTGGTTTTGATTTTCACACGTGAATGGAAAGCGACCCTGGCACTCAGACTCACATGTCAGGCTTCAGTGGCCCATGAGACATCCCAGTACTAGAGCAGCCTCGCAGGCAGCGGGAGATGTGGTCCCGGAGCTCTGACGAATGCTATGGGACACAGCAGTGGTTCCCAGTGTGTGCTCTGGGCTCCAATCCTTTCCCATCCAGGAGTCCCTAAGTCATTTTAGGGAGTCCACAAAGTCAAAACTATTCTCACAATACCACTACATTACTTGGCATTTTCACTCTAATTCTCTCACAAATATTCACCAGAATTTTCCAGAAAGTAAATGATGTGTGACACCACAATAAATTAAATGCAGGCCATTCCCTCGCCTTTTACTAATCCAAACATCACAGCCATTCACTGAAATGTAAAACAAACATCACCAAACATTTTGAAAGTAGTTATCTTTAATTTGACTACTCTTGAGTATCTCATATGTGTGGAATCATAGAGTATTTATCTTTTTGTGACTGTGACCTTTAAAATGTGATTTTTGTTATTCACATGTACTGAGCTTATTAGTATTTGAAGGTAAAATTTAAAAATATAAAATGTTCTGTTTTAAAATCTAATATGATAATAATCATTATAGATATACACTTATACAAACAAAAAACTCAGTAATACTTAAGGTTTCCTTAGACCAGAAAATCTGAGAACTGCTGGACTAGAAAAACAAATCTAAATACAGATTTTAAATAAAACCATAGATGAAATGAAGCTTGCCAGCAAGGCCTCACTCACAGACCAGGAATTTTGGGAAATCCTACAGCTGAGGATAATTGGAAAAGCTGGACAAAATATAAAAACATCTATGTGAAGTCATGTCAGAGGAAGGGTGGGGGCCCAGGGAAATAAGCCAACGTTTCGAACCTCTTTTTCCCTTGGCAGCATGTGTTAATTTGTTGATTCCACACATGTACGTAAGCTAGATGGATGTTTGGGAGTAGTGTTTTTTTTAATTCACAGCTTTATTGAGATATAATGTGCAACACCTCTTTTAAGGTATAAGAGTCAAAAGTTTTAAGTTTATAGAATCTTGCAACCATCATCAATTTTAGAATATATTCATCACCCCAAAAAGGTAATCTCATACCCATTAGCAGTTATTTTCCATTACCCCTCAACCCCAACTCCTGGAACACACTAACCTACTTTCTGTT